TACAAATTATGGAATTTTCATTTGGAAATTTAGTCCATAAGTGTGTCCACAGTGTGACTAAAATTCTACCTTTTTTCTAAATGAAATAATGTTTACTTTCTTAAATTAATGAATCAAACTGCAAGACTTAAACTGCAATAACTGCAAACTGCAATACATATATATGTATAAATTTATACTTTTACAAGTGAAAATCCCACCCAGCAGAAAATACCACATCTCTGCTTCTTCAACCTGGCTAACAAATGGTACTCAAATTTTAATCTTTCCAGAAATACATGACAGCTGGTATCCAAGGCCACCTGTAGTCATAAGAGTTATTTCAAATATTCATTCAAAATAGGCTGTGTAAAGAAGGACTTTTTACATAAATTCTGATTTTTTTAAAAATGTTCAAACTCCACCAGTTTTATTGATAGCATTTTTCAAAGGAATTATAATAAAGTAATCTATTAATATACTCAGGACATCAAGGAACAGTGGGTTAATTAGACATGGTGAGATTTCTTTAGACTCTATTGATACAGCATTTCTTCAATGCTCATTCTTTCATTACCTCCCTTTTCCCACGTACACTTACTGCAGCCTAATGGGATCTCCTTGCAGAGTTCCAGTTTTTTACACAGGAGGAATACAAAGAATTATATCAATGGGCACTACTATAGTGACAAAGCTCTACTTTATGCATTAAAAATTCCAATTGTGGTGGACAGACAGATATGAGCAGAGCAAGGATGATGAGCCAGGTACAGAAGCTCACCAGGGTGCAAAGCCCTGGGTGACTAGCAAAGGACAACTGGCTGATATCCAAGCACCTAAAACACATCAGCAAACCTGGGCATGGCAGGGGATTACTACAGTAGAGTGGGAGGAGGAGGGCATCCAGGTGAACAAATGTTCAGCAGACCCTGAGACAATTTGTTGCCGACAATCAGAGGCCTTCCTGACCCACCTGGACCAAGGCAAACTCTATTCTCATCCCCGGCTGCTGGATTCCTGATGACCAGCCTATTGTAGCCAACTAGTAATTGAATCATGTCAGAAGTTTAAATATGAAATGAAAATATATAGATTCCATGACTATATCACCAACAGTGAAAACTCTTTTAAAGCATTCTCTAATTACATCATCAGATTTCCAGATGTTCTCTGTTCTTTAGGAAACATCGGTGGATATCCACAACTTGAACTTTCTCTGTAAGCCTGGCTCCTTTGGCTCCCATAGGTTGAGTTGTTTGGCTGTTAAGAGTCTGTTGTGTTTAACAAACTTACTCCAGTTGTAGATTTTATTTCAATTACACATAATAAAATATTTTGCAAACTGACAAAATATAAATACAAAAAAGAACGTTGTTCTTTCTATGAAAACTTAGCAAATACTCTGGAAACACTTCAGAAAGGAAAGTTGCTCAAAAAATTGCTGTTGAATGAGATGTGAGTGAGATCATTGTAAAAGACCAAAGGAGGATAATCAGAAAAATATCAAATCGCCTTTAAATTTTTATCTCGCTTTAAAGTATCAAAACTAATTATCATAAAAATGAATTATGAGTGTGGTTTTGCAACTTCTAATAAGAAGACTCTTACTCAAAGGAAAGAACTTGGTTTGACATTAGAAGATTCGTGAATGGATGTACCTGTGAAATTAACCAATCAACATAATATTCAGTGTCTTCTGCCCTTTATCCAGTCAATCCATTCAGGGCCACTATGTCTCCTTTTGAATTTCTGGGATGAGGCAATTCATGGGAGAGCTTGTGCAGGAAGTGCTGAGATACTGGGCAGTCTCCAGACTTCCTACTCCTATCACGTGGAGTGGAATGGCAGAACCCTTCTCCAGGGTAACTCAATGGCCAGAAGGCTTTGGAGGTACACGGCAGATCCACCAGGGGTCTTCTGATTCTCCAGCACACAGAACCCCACACCAGGCAGAACCCAGAATAGGTATGATCATGAGAGCTGCCCTGCACAGCACAGAGAAGCTAACACTTGTGTGTGTGTTGAGGATTTAAGGAAAGGGTCCTGACATTTTTCTTTGATGACATGGGTCTTAATCTGAATCTATAATCTCCACTGTAGTATTTTCCAAAGGACACTTCTCTTGTATTACAGAAATATAATAAATGAGGTACACCAAGAGGGAGGAGAAGTCAGTGGTTTAAAGAAAATAGAATAAAGTTTAAAAGAAGCAGAATATTCATGTCATATATAATTATCAATCTAACACAGTGCTATTTTTAGAACTGTAAGCCAACCAAAAAGATATCGGTAGTAATACAACTCTAATAACTAATTTTTCCTCTTTCTTTGGAATCTGTATAGTCATTACAAACAGAATGAGCAATTGTTGGGACTGGTTTCAGATAATATCACCTTCAACCCTGCATTTCCCTAATCATTCTCTTTCTTGATGTGTGCAAATAGGGAAAACATCAGATACACTGAAGTTGACAGAGTGGTACAGCAGTTGGGAGGGAGAGGAATCCCTGTCTCACCAGCTTCCACAAAGAAACAGCAGTATCAAAATAGGGGCAATCTGCCCTGGCCGGTTTGGCTCAGCGGTTAGAGCGTCGGCCTGCGGTCCCGAGAGACCAGGGTTCGGTTCCCGCTAAGGGCATGTACCTCGGTTGCAGTTTGTCCCCGGCCCTGGTCGGTTGTGCGGGTGGCAACCACTCGATGTGTCCCTTCACGTCGATGTTTCTCTCTCTCTCTCTGTTCCTCTCTCTCCCTCCCACTCTACTTGAACAAAAAGTGAAAAAATGTCCTCGGGTGAGGATAAAAAAATAAATAAATAAATAAATAAAAAAAAATAGGGGCAATCTTCCTATCACCTAAGATAAGTTCATCAGTAATGAATAGTCCTGGCATTTTCTTTTTCTAACACAGAGTGACAATTCATTTAAATTGGAAAAAAACAACAATACCACGTCTGTTGAAAATTCACCACAGAGATATCCATACAAATATAATTGACACTTTATTTTAAATCAGAAGTATTTTTGAGCCTGGTCTGAGAGAGTGACGTTATTTCACTAATTACTATGCAGTATATTTATAGTTTCGATTACTCTCTCCCATTTCTCAAGGGACATGTTTGTTCCAGAAGCGCAGTTGCTGAAGCAAACATTTATTTTGATCGTTTCATGGGAGAGAAGCTGAAGTACCCAACCAGCTGCCATAATTCAGTAAAATCACCTGCCTTAGAGATTTTGACTGAACTTATGCCTGTGCCCTAAGCTGGGCTTTAGGGTCTGCCATATTTTTCTGTGTGAACTTGAGATAAAACAGTCTGCTGTTTTAAAAGATACTGATATACTTCTTTCAAATCAATATTTTTCACACAAACTTACAGCTCTTTTCTTCCCTTCTAGAATGTCACCTAAAATTATGAAATGTTAATTGTTAAAGCAAAAACGTACTTTATGTGTATCTGTGAAGGAATGTGCCTTTTTAAAAAGGACATTTCCTCATAACCAAAGCATTACACGTTCATACGGACATCTGGAGCACACAAAAAAAAGTATAAAGAAAAATTAAACCATAATCTTACCGACCAGAGATAGTCATTGCACACATTGCATATATTCTTCCAGTAAAGAACATAATTCCTTAACATCTTTAAATCTGTCTTCTCTTCCTTAATAAAAACTCCTACTCCTCAATAAAAGCTTTGTTACCCAGCCAGTGTGGCTCAGTGGTTGAGCGTCATCCCATAGACTGAGAGGTCCCAGTTCGATTCCCAGTCAGGGCACATGCCCAGGTTGCAGACTCGATCCTCAGTAGGGGCCTTGCAGGAGGCAGCTGATCCATGTTTCTCACATGGATGTTTTTATCTCTCCCTTCCTCTCTCTCTTAAAAAAAAAAAAATCAATAAAAACATATTTTTTAAAAAGCTTTGTTATAAGTATTCTTCAGGACTTAATGTTTCTTGTGTTCTTTGGAAGAGTATTTGACAGTTGAACATTTTGCCATACTGAATATTAAGTAACAGGTCCTAAAGTCTAACAGGTGTTGACTGATGAACAATACATTTGCGCAGAACACTGTTCAAAAAGACACTTTTTAAAAATTAGGTCTGTTACTTTAAGAATGACAATTTCAAATTGAGCTTTGAGATGATCTTAGTAGGTGCTTCAGTGAAATATATGATTTGTTTGGCTTATATATCTTAAGTCCTAAGGTGGAACAGAATCAGAAAATTCATTAAATGTGGGCCATTCCACATTTTTGAAGAGTGGAAAACTCTTCAAAAGCTTCTGTGAACCTCCTGGTATTCAATAAAAAAGAAGGTTCACCTTGCTTTATTTTGCCCACATTTGGAGACTCTGAGGTTTGTGTTCGTTACCACGTCTCCGCACATTCCAGGTTAAATGTATTCATTATCTGGGACCTTTCCAAGAAGACCAGCTTGAAAGTCAGAGCTGCAATTTTCAAGAGCACCTAAGAGCAATAAAGACTGGCGCTGGTCACACAGACCGTGTTAGTTTCCCTTAAAGTCACATTTCAAGCCATATTGGGTATACTCAAATGTCTTCAAATGTCTAGTCAGAAGCCTAGAGGGGGAATAATTCACTGGAGCAAATATCCTGAGAACTTAGAAGTATATTTTTGACAACCAACTCCTATTTGCTTCTCTCTCTCTCATATATATATATATATATTTATTTTTATTTATTACATTTATATGTATAATATATTTCTATATAGATATATATTGACAACCAACTCCTATTTGCCTACGCAACTGAGCATCGCTTCATTCTGTAGTGTGTGGTGGTGGAAACTTTTACAAGAAAGCATGGAGTTAGAAGCAAGGTAGAGCTACCACCATACAGCAGACTCGAACGCTGAGCCGTAAAACTCGGAACCCAAGGTCGACACCACCTCCAAGGAATGTTCATTGTCATAGGAAAGAACCCAGCCCCCGCACACTGGGAGGGGTGAGTGCAACACAGGGGCCTGGAAGCACAGCAGTGGCATCCATGGGCGCAGGTGCTTACTTGAGGGCCGTCCTGTAGTGGTAGATGGCCTCCCTGTTCCGGCCTTGGTCCTTCAGGAAATTGGCGTAGTTGTAGTGAACCTTGGCATTGTGGGGCAGAGTTTGAACTCCAGACCTAGAATTAATTTTAAAAAACAAAACAAAAAGAGCAACATAGAGTACTGCTTAGAAATGTTGTCAGTTTCCTTCACATTTACTTTATTATTTTTAAAATGTTCATCTGAGCCTATGTTTTTATTGATTTTTAAAGAGAAAGGAAAAGAGAGAGAGAGGGAGAGAGAAAGAGAAACATCACCATGAGAGAAAAATATTGATAGGCTGCCTGCAGTCTGAGCCCTAGAAGGGGATCGAACCCACAACCTTTTGATGTACAGGATGATGCTCCAACCAGCGGAGCACAGCCACGGCAGTCTCCTTCACATTCTACTCAGTTTCGTGACCCTGCATTCGGAATGACCACTGCACCTTTTTCAGTGAAGTCTTGCAAAATCTGTGAATTACACGAGTTACTACTACACATGCGTGGATGGCAAACAGTGAAGGTGTGCACAGTGGCGCACAGCTAAATGATCGTGCTAACTGCGCTGGAGGCAGAGGAGGCGGGACATGGAGATGGATGGATCCCTGGAGAGCACCCTGCACGCTCAGGTTAATTCAATTTGTTCCTTCCTTGCTTCCTTCATTCACTATCACCTTTCTTAAAAAAAAAAAAAATCAAGATTATCTACAAAAATTAATCATTAGAGGAGGTGTGGCTGTGGACTGGCCTCCCAACTAAGTTTTATTGAAAAATAACATTTCCCAAGGAGTAAATCTGAGCTGTTTTGTTTTTTTTTTTTAAATAAATGTAGGTTTAATTATGCTATATGTTGCAGATAAGGAAATGAGGTTTTGCTCAGAAAGGTTAAAAACCTTGTTTAGGTGGCCCTGGCCGGTTTGGCTCAGCAGTTAGAGTGTCGGCCCATGGGACCAGAGAGTCCCGGGTTCGATTCCCACTAAGGGCACGTACCTCAGCTGCAGTTTGTCCCCGGCCCCGGTTGGGGTCATGTGGGTGTCAACCACTCGATGTGTCTCTCTCACATAGATGTTTCTCTCTCTCTTCCCCCCTCTCTCCCTCCCTCCCACCCTATCTGAAAATAAATGCAAAAATGTCCTCGGGTAAGGGTTTAAAAAAAACGAAAAAGAAAACTTTGCTTATTTGGCCACTTATTTTTCTGCTTCGGATGCCAAAACCAAACACCTGGGGAACCTATAGGGTAACAGCAGAGCTCGGAGGAGGACAGAGTGGGTGGGAGCAGGACAGGGTCTGTTTGTCACTTGTACTGCCTCACAAAACTAACTCACACCACATCATGCCGCTGGTCAGTGGCACGTCCTGGTCAGCTGGCCAGGGTTCTGACCCAAAGAATATGGTTCTCGAATCTGTTCTCTCACCTGCAAGGAGGTGGTGGCAGGGGAAATCATGAAGGGAGGTGGGTTTGAGGGCCATCGGGAGGGAAAAAACCCTGACCTTACATGGATTAAATGCAGGAGGAGGACAGGTAATGACAGAGAGGAAGAAGGGATGACAACCTAGTTTCTGGGCAATTACACTTCAATGTACCATCCCTTCCAGATAACCCATTTCGTTGATTGTTTATAATATAAAGGTAAGACTAACAGGGCAAGTTCATTCAAAGTGTTTAAACCTGCTGGGGGACTATGTAGGGGCATCGTAACCTTTGCTGAACTTTTGCTACAATAGTTCCCAGGACCAGCAGAGCTCACCCCCCTTAAAATCCACTGGCTGGATGCTTGAGGAACTTTCCTGGGTGGGGGAGAATTTCCAGGGAGTGCGGGAAGCTAGGGACCAACCCAAGAGCAACAGATTATCAAAAAGCAGCAGACTCCTAACTTACATGGCTGCTTCGGTGATTTCAAAGGTACTGCAGGTAGCTAGGATTTTTTATTCTTTTATTTTTTAGTAGGGTGAGGCTGAAAACAGATCGACCATAAACTTGTATCAGGAGCAGTTAGACTCCTGATCCTCGTTCCTGCCCTGCACATCCAGGTGACTTCCTCAGCTATTCTCCCCTGTGCCCGCAGAAGGCAGGAGGTTTTCTCTCTAAGAAAGCCGAATCAGAGAGACCCTGTCCTCAGGAGCAACAGGTGCAGTTGCAGTCAGAGGCAAGAGCTGTGCTTCAAAGGCACAGTGAGTGAAAATCCATATTCTGAACATTGGGGGTCCCCCAGTTCCTTCCCCATGTGATGCTCCCTGAATGTTGGCACCAGGATTGGACCCGCAGGGATGAGACCGGAGGAATCCTCTCGCTCAGTGGAAACACTGACGGGCTTACGCTCGGGGGCTCCAGTGACACCGCCTGTTTCCTCTAACCCCCTCTGGTGAGGCCCACCAGCTGACACGCAGAGCTAGGAATTTAATATGGCATTAAAAGTGGACATTACTCAAAGGGAATCCAGTCAAAGGGTCAGGATCTGGGTCACTGTGTTAGTAATGGCTTAAAAAAATTCAATTTCTTTCCAGGAAAATTTCCGATTTTTCTATCCAGACCTAAGTAGTACACAGTCACAGGAAGGTTTGAAAAATAACTTGGATTTCAGCATGAATATTACTGGCATATTTATTGGGATGGATCCTTCTTCCCTCTGTGTGATTAGCACAGTTGTTCTAATGTGTGTTTCACTGAGGAACAGACAACTCGGCCTGTGGAAACAGGTTCCTCGCCGAGACCCGGGCACTGCTCAGTGACGCGAGAGGAAGCACTAATATTCCTAACAGGCAAGCAGACGTGGGTGGGGCAACCGTAATCCTAAGATCAGAGTTTCCCCCATTGTTGCTTATGACCTTTATGTTCTCTCTCTGGTTGTTTTGTTTCTTTTTTTCTGTTGTATTTTTCCAACCTCTCATTTTACAATGAACATTTTGGAAAAAAAAAAAAAAAAAAAAAGGCGAATAAACAATTGGCCAAAGGCAAAACTTTCCATGTCACTATAACCGGCCTGGCTGCGCTTCCTCTGGGGCCGGACTCCAGTGTGCGCTCTAGGTGCTACGATCTAGTGCTCACAAGCATTGTAACAGAAACATGCAGCTTCACACGTATCTACTCTAGAAGCAGTTGCAGTATTCATAAATTATATGGCTGCATCCCAAACTGTGTTAATAATTATAATAATGATTATGAAAAAAATCTCCTTTTCAACTCAGGGTCATCATTCATGCACTCTGCATTTCTCCCTCATACTCTTCATTTGCAGAAGACTTGAAAAATAACAGAAATAACCAAAAAAGCCACTTCTATAGGGTATATCTCCAAGTTTGTAACATCAATTTGTTTTGTTGGCATCACTGGACTATAGGTCAGGCGAACCATCCTCAAATTTCTGATTAGATAACAAACTTTTTTTTTTTTTAATAAATGGTGCTCAGCCAAAGGTTAACAGGAAAGATCACTAAAGAGAGATTGTGGTTCTCCTCAATTTTAACCCTGCTTTAGCCTGAGGCTTCACAGCGCCACACGCAGGATGGCTGACACTTAGTGAAAATTCACTTTGAACCACCCTCTGGGCAAAGCACCCATTTCCATGGATTATCTCATTTTATCCCTCAATAACCTATCAGATGAGTAGTCTTAACGTATCTCCCAAATTATAGATGAGAAAATTGAAGCTCAGACAGACTAAGACCTTCTAAGGCTATAGACCTACTAATAAGTAGTTGAGCAGAGATTTCAACCAAGGCCAATATATGGTCAGAATTGTTTGATGCTCAATCAAAATGGTACCACAAGAGACTAGCAACTGTGGAATTTCACTGTCACAACGTTGATACCATTAGTCAGCAAACTATGGCCTTGTGGGCCACAGATGTGTCAATGTGTTGACCTATTGTCTTTTTGGTCTCTTTCCTGAGACAACAGCAGGGTGGAGTAGTTGCAAAAGAGAACGCACGGCCCACAAAGCCTAATATAGTCACCATCTGGCCCTCTGCAAAATAATCTGCCAATCCCTGCTTTGAATTTTCTGTCCTGAAAAGTCTGCTGATCTCTCTGGCTCAGCAATTCAGAGGGGAGGAAAGAAAAAAGTGTTTCCTACAGAGGGGAGGACGATCTAGGCCATAAGTTCTTGATCGATGGCCTGTGATCACTTAAACAGTTCATGAATGGGTTTCAGAGGACCCTGAGCTGGATGCAAAAGAAAGTATGTTGTCTCTGTCTTTCCAGGTATTTCAAAGACTGGGGGTGTGTGTGCAGATTTTATCAAATTGTGTTATTACAGTATTATTTACGCCACACGAATGTGAGATTCTGGGCTGTCACTAGGCCCAGCTGGAGCTCTGCTGTTCACTCCGCTCAGGTTAGTTTCTGAGAATGCTCTCTTGGCACAAGAATTAAAGCACATACACCTTGCAGCTATGATCGTGAATCTCTCTCTCTCTGTTTATACTGGGCTTAACCTAAGTTAGAAAACATAAAGTAGAAGATAAATGTGACCAAGTTTATGTATTGTTTGGCTTTTATATAAGATTCGAGTTCAAATCCTGGCTCTTCCTCTTAACGGCTGTTTCCGTGTGGGCAAATTACTCTCTCTGGACCTCTGATGAGACACAAGTGCCGGGTTCCCGTACTACTGTGTAAGGTTTTTGTTGCCAAAATAAATCCAAAGCTGTGAGGCAACCCTCCACCTGTAGCTCCTAAAACTACATCACACAGTGGGGTCTTGTTGGTGAGAGAATCTTTTTGGCTAGAAAAGAAAGAACTCGACTGAAATTGGGATTTTGTGATTGTTCACAGTATTGACCAGCAAAGCCGCACCACAGAATTAGCGAGGCCTCAAGGACACCAGGTGTCCTAATGATGGTCAGTGGGTTTATGGCTTGGAACAGAGGAGAAAACGGAAACAGGCCTCTGCCAAGGACGTCAGCTTACGTAGAAACATTGCAACTCCTTGTTATTACTTCAGCCAGCTCTTAGTTTTTTAGCCATTATGTCTAATTCAGGTTTTTCTTATCCTTCCATACTCAGCTCAGGCCTACAAGAGAACCGTCCTTGAAGGCCTGGCTTGTCTTAGTCACTGGCCAGCATTTACAGTATTTTGCATCTACTTCTGTTTACTACTTGCTACATTGTAGCCACATGACTCCCAGGCAGCCTTCCAGCTCCTCTACAATCATATCTACACCCCTATCCTAGAACATAGTGGAGAACAAGAACCTGAAAACCTTACATGGTGTTTACTACACGCCAGACACTATCCTATGCATCGTTCACATACTTTTGTATCTTACACTACATCCAGGAAATAAACACTGTTATTATTCTGAATTTTGTTTTATTTTATTTATTTTAATTTTTTTATCCTAATCCGAGGACATTTTTGCATTTATCTTCAGATAGTGTAGGAGGGAGAGAGGCAGGAAGAGAGAGAGAGAAACATCAACATGAGAGAGACACATCGAGTGGCTGCCACCCACATGACCCCAACGGAGGCCAGGGACAAGCTACAACCGAGGTACGTGCCCTTAGTGGGAACCGAGCCCAGGACTCTCTGATCCGCGGGCCGACGCTCTAACCACTGAGCCAAACGGGCCAAGAATATTCTGAATTTTATTTTATTTTATTTTATTTTTATTTATTTATTTTTTTTATCCTCACCCGAGGACATTTTTCCATTCTTTGCTCAGGTAGAGTGGGAGGGAGAGAAAGGAACAGAGAGAGAGAGAGAAACATTGATGTGAAAGGGACACATCGAGTGGCTGCTACCCGCACAACTGACCAGGGCCGGGGACAAACTGCAACCGAGGTACGCGCCCTTAGCGGGAACCGAACCCGGGTCTCTCAGGACCGCAGGCCGACGCTCTAACCGCTGAGCCAAACCGGCCAGGGCAGAATATTCTGAATTTTAAAATGAAGAAACTAAGGCATGGAGTGGTTAAGTGACTCGCCCAAGATCACAGTTATTAAAAGATCCACTTGGAGTGGAGCCAGGAAGCCTATCTCCAGAGTCCACACTCAACCATTAACCCTATTTTGCCTCACAGAATGTTGGTAAATGTTTGTTTAGTTATTTGAATATTACTCAGCACAGATGAATACCTACAAACATCTGGTCTTGAAGAAAAAAAAATATTCTTAAAGTCTCAAATTCTTAAAAGTCTTATTGGGACATAGATAAATAATAACCAGCAAAGTTTTCTCAAAACCATCTATAGCTTTGGTTTGCACATCACACAAAATGCCACTTGATCCCCAAAGGCCCCTCAGGGCACAAAGTCTGTGTGAGCACATATGCGGAACGGCTGTGCTTCGTAATCAGCTGCTCACTTACTACATCCTTCCATGTAAAAGGGCAGAAGCTTCTGGATGGACGGTCAATGAACTTTCTGTTTTCCTTTTCTCTAAAAAATTGCTGGCATCCACTGTACAGGGTTTGAACACTAACTTGTTATCCTTGAAAGAAACTGCTGCCTGCCAAAATCCATTCCCAAAGTTTCTGTGATTAAACAGGAAAGATCATTAGGAGACACAACCGCTGTTAGTCCCTTTCTTCAAGGAAAAGATTTAACACAAGGCAGAACCATTCCAGAGTCTCTCATGAAAGCGCTCACTACTGAAAGCAAAAGAAAAAAATGCTGCCAGAGACTAAGAGGAAGTTATGTTTCTGAACTGCAGTGCCCTGGTGTTTACAGAATGACCTCAGCCCTGGGCAGTAAGGAGGAACAGGTCTATTGTGGTGTGTAAGAACTGCACAGAGGCGGAGGGGTATGAAAGAGACGGAGAAGAATCTGAAGGCTAAAAGTGAAAAATAAAAAATAAAAAAAATAAAATATAATCCACACAAAACACTTTACACAGCAGCAGGTCCCTACAGTATCCATTGAAGTAATTATGATGGTAACGATAATGATGACAATGATATACCATAATAAATGAACTAATAAGACACACGGGCTAGATTATTTTTTCTATTAAAAGGTCAAACTGCCAAGCAGTAGAATCAAATATATTAGTTGAAAATAGACCAGTGCGGTGAAAATGTGTCCGGTTGTTTATTCATTCACCCAATCACTTACTCATTCATTCACGCATTTTTGGCAGCCCAGAGCCTGTGCCCCTCCTACAGTGCTTGGATTTCCTGCGGGGGATCCTCCCTGGGCACCCTCTGTGAAGCCTCAGTGGAGCCCCAAGGTGCTCTGCCTGCCCGATCTTGCCCCACGGAAGCCAAAGGGGCTGCCTTGGTCAGATCAATTCTCTCAGTGCTCTCGTGGGGACGAGGGGCAGACACATGACCTGGCCCACGCTCAGCCAGAGGGCTTTGTTTCCCTAGGACTTTGATGTGAAAACAGAAAACCACTGGTGTAAGTTTACCCATTAATTCCTGTGAGAGTGCACAGGTGCTTGAGACAGACTATCCAGATGCCCGTTTCCTGTGGGCTACACGCCAGGTTCTTCACCTGCCCTTCAATTCTGTGCACGTTCTCATATTCTTCCAATATTTACCTCCCCTCCCCCCACAACGATCCCAATTCTGTTTCAGTTGTTTGCCTCAGAAAAATAAGTGGTGGGTACCAGCTGAGCAGGGAACCAAGGAAAAATCGAATTGACTGAATTGGCCAATTGTGTCCTAAGTCAGGATAGAAGCTAGAAGGGGGCACAGGCTGGGGAGTCCCTGGGAGACTGGGAAAATACTGTTGGGATGCCAAGTGTGGTAATGACAGGGGAGCAGAGGTGAAGGTCGCCAACACAGTGGCATTAGGGAGACAGACTAAGCCCCAGGAGCACAGTATGAAGAGCTATAGCCCCAAAGAATGTTTATACTTTATGACAAGTTTAGGGCTATAAGCTGACATTGTCATATTCAGAAACAGCATCCACACCACACAAAAACCTACTAGGAGATGAAAAAGTCTCTAATTTTCTCATTCACAATTAAAACAAAGCAACTAATGACCACAGATTACAACTTCATATTCTGGAATATTTTAAGAAAATGTACAGCATTTCTCTTTCTTCCTGTTGTGTGCTTACCTTCCCCGTTCACTGCTCTGAACAGTTCAATTAGGCTCATTTCCTTGTATTTAGATCTGATTTTACAGCCACACTCATCATTAAGACCCCAAAACTTTCCCATAAGCCCTATTTTCATATATTCACTTAACACGAGCTTCTGTAAAATTTTATGTATCATTTTTAAAAATCAAAGTAAAAAAAAAAAATAGAATTACATTTTTATTTAAAACTTAATGAACATTTTTTTTTCTGGATTAGTAAATATTGCTAGACCCATGCTAGCTCATTTGTTTGGAAACAACTATGTGGGCTCTAGTATGAACGGGAAGAGATCACTGGGCGCCATTAATCATACCTGAATAAGGACTCTCTTGACAGCCAGATTTCATTCTGCTTCACAGTTTTCCAAGAGAAAAGCAACAGCAGCAGCACAGTGGACACAGTCAGGGTGGTGGCCCCACATCGATTTAGCCAAGTGCAGAGCTTGCTCAGTCCATGCACGAAAAGGATGCAGTAGCCCATGCTGGAAAACAGGGTGGGGAAGCAGGGTTATTTTTGGGGTGCAATGAGCATTCTATCCCATATAACTAACTTTCAAGTGAGGCTGGTCCTGTGATAGAGAAACAACAAATATAAACTTCCCTGTCTATTATAACATCTACATGTTAGCTCTTTACCAGGTACACTGGCTCCCTGACTAGTTCTTCGGCATTGACGTGGAAAATAGGCTCAAACTGCCTTGGGTCTTAGCAGCTCAGAAATCATGACAAGTCCCTCATTTATATTCTGGGGTCCTGAATGGACTCTTTGACCCGTGACCACTCACGTTAGCAGCATTGTGTTACACTAGTGCATCGTGTGTCCAAATGTGGACTCTATGCTATAGCACGTCACATCACAGTTTTGAGGGGTATGGTTCCTGAGAGCTCCCTGTCAGGTCGTGGAAGGTTGCTGGTTACCAAATGCCACTGGTCTCTGTCTCGTGGTATGTCTCCACTCTGGCCAGTCAAGTCCTTAAGCTGAAGGAAAATCTACCCACAGGCCAGCTCCTGTGCCTCAAAGCTTGGAGCTTATCACAGACAAGATGTATTGATCTGATTCTCATGCTGCGGCTTGCTCAGCTTTCCAAACAGACGTGAAGAATCCCTTATGCTATCAGAGTGGAATTCTGGCATGCTGAAACCATGTCTTTAAAAGCCTTTGGCTTGGTGGACAAAACATGGTTCCTAACATCATCTAAGCACCCACAGAGAGGCTTCTTGCCTACCGACTGGACTCAAAAAACACCAACAATTAGTTGTGTCCATGATTGCTTTGTGCACTTTAGTCAAAATCCACTTCATGCTGAAGATGATAACTATAAATTATTACAGAATATTTTAAGGATGAAGCAAACGTATGTAAAGAAATCCTACATTAGTCAGACTACTAATGCTATAAAAAGCCCAAAATTGATATAGCTCACATACTTATTCAATTATTTCTTCATTCACTCTCTGTTATGTGACTAGCAATAGGCTGAGCACTAAAAATACAATTATGAACAAAACAGAGACCTTGCCCTCAAAGAACGCCAGTCCGGTGCAGGAGGGTGGCTTTGTACAAAGAAACACCTGAATATTCTCATTTCTAACACACCTTCTTTAAAAGAAACACCTCTCCACGTTCCTCCTGCTTTTCTTTCTCTCTGCCAAAGTGTCGGTGCTTTGGTATCAAGGGCAGAAGAACAAGAGAGAAGCATCTCAGGCTCCTGACCTGGCGAACCTGGGCTCAATCCGCGTTAGCGCTCCAATTTCCTGCTTCAAGTCTTAGCAGCTCATTGGTCCAGCTCCATAAAGTTTTAGGCTTCCCTGTTTGGCCAAAAGGAATCACCACCCCACTCACCAGTAGGGGTTTGAGCTAAGGAGGCCCAGGTCCTGACCCCCATCCCAGTCACTGAACGTGATTGTTGCCTGCACCTTGCAAATGTCAGACACAGTCACTAGTGCAAAAAAACAAAAACAAAAACAAAAAACCCTCTTTCCACTTTCATAGCTCCCCATGTTTGGCCTTAAAGGTATTAAGATTTTCTAAAAATCTCCCGTTTTTGTACAACCGACCATGCTGATATCATTACTGGCCACCACGGCGGCTTATGATCAGGAGGCTGCTTGCCGCCGACTCCCTGGCCCCAGCCTGCTCCCAGACCCTGACGGAGCAGGGTGCTTCCCTGGCCACGCGGAGGCCTCCGGGCTCCATTCTCCCCTCCAGCGCGTAGTTAACGAACACTGACGACTACCTGACACCGTGACAAGCACAAGAACAGATCAGTGAATCAAACAGACAACGATTCCTGTTCTCAGGAAGCTGACATGGGTGGGGAGAAGCAGCTGACAAGCAAAACAAAAAGAATGTCACACAGAGTAGTATGTTCGTTGGTGGGAAAAATCCTGCAGAAAAGGGGAAGAAGGAGTCCAAGGTAAGAGCAAGTTGAGATTTAATGCGGGTGGTCAGGGAAGGCCTCGGCGAAAAGGTGGCCTGTGAACCAAGTTCAGAAATGCTTGGGGTGTGCCCTGCGGACACCCCATCGCAAGGGCAGCGTCTCCTCCCTCCTGCCCTCTGTCGGGAAGAGAAGGTGGGCTGACTTGCTGGAGAAGGTGCCTCAGCTCACACAGCTTCCAGAGCCCACGTCCCGAGCGCTGTCCTGTTGCTGGCGCTTTGACTGAGGGCTGATTCGTGGGTTCCTCACACCGTGTCACACAGCTTCACTCCTTCCTCCCCAAGCGCTCCACTCGCAGAATCTCACCTGTTGTCTGTCCCTGTGCAGGAAACCGAGCTGCCATCTGGCAGTGGGGAGGAAAACACTAAGATCCCAGCAGCTCCAGAGCAATGGCCTCCAAGCGGCAGAAGACAAGGAGCAACAGGTAGGGAAACGATTAGCCACCTTCTATGTGCGGATGTCTGTGGAGTGCTTCCTATGTGCCAGGCACTGTGCTCAGCACTATCTATGGGGCTGTCTACACAATGTACAGGGCAAGGGCAGTACTGGCTTTAAATACTTATCTCGTTTTATTTATTTAAATTTTTTTTTTCTTTTTTAAATTAATTTTTAATACTGAGGATATCTTTCCATTTATCTTCACACAGAGTGGGAGGCAGGGAGAAAGAAGGAGAGAGAGAGAGAGAAACATTGGCGTGAGAGAGACACAATGACTGGCTGCCTCCTGCACAACCCTGACCAGGGCCAAGGACGAACCACAACCCAGGTACGTGCCCTTGACCGGAACCAAACCCGAGACTCATTGGTCTACAGGCCGATGCTGTAACCACTGAGCAAAACTGGCCAGGGCTTCTTTATTGATTTTAAAGAGAGAAGGATAGAGAGAGAGAGAAACATTGATGAAAGAGAACATCAACTGACTGCCTCCTGCATGCCCCCCGCTGGGAATCGGGCCCACAACCTGGGCTTGTGCCCTGACTGGGAATCAAACTGGTGACCTCTTGGTGCATGGGTCAATGCTCAACCACCGAGCCACAACAGCTGGGCTAAATATATATCTAATTTTAAAACGTATCTTCTATTTTATAAATGAGGAAAGTAAAGCTTGTAGGAGTTAAATAACTTACCCACAGCCCCAAAGGCTAGTAATAGACTTAGATCAGAAGACTCGTGGCCCTAACACTCTGCTATAACCCAGGAGTCAGTATACGCTTTCTGTAAGGGGCCAGGGAATACATTATCAGGCATTTCAGCCCTAAGGCCTCTGTCTTTTCCACTCAGCTCTATTTCTGTAGCATAAAAGAGCCATTGACACCATGTAAGTGAAGGGTATGGCTGTGTTCCAATAAGATTTATTTATAAAAACGGGTGGTGGGCCAGATTCCATGCACGGACCACAGTTTTTTTACTCCTGCTACAACCAAAATGAAGGGGAATACCATTCTTTTCCACTCAGCACAGGCATAGGGATCGAGTCAAATGGTAATTTTTTTAAAGTCCTTATATTGACATTTGGTTTAAAGAAATGTTAAGTCATATGTAATAACCTCCAATTAGGTTTGCAAATTTCTTAGAAAGTATCACATTCTTATAAACTGGAACACACCATCACAGAGATTAAATGCTTCTCTATTAGGGCATTTCATCTTTCAACATCTCAGCAGCAGGGGTGAGAAACTCAACAATGCTAGGGGCAGGGTAAGTCCTTATTTTCAAAGAGGAATATCAAGCAAATGAGGAACTACATGCTTTTCTGGCCTCGAGAGAGATGAAACCAGACACGAGTTTGCTCTGGTTTATCTGGTTAAGGAAAATATGACCTCTACACAGAGCACAAAGGAGTCAAGGAAAATCATGCCCCGGAGAACCCAGAGCCAGGCTCCGGCTGCTGAAGGTTTGAATCAGCTGCGCAGTGAGATGCAGTGTTAAAGCAGACTCCGGCGCCACACCTCCTGCACGGAGAAGAGCTAATCACTCCTACACAGAGATGACCTCTCATTCACAGGCTGCTGCTTCGGCCGATTTTGAACGTGATTTATTGACAAACTACTCAGTATGCAATGCATATAATAACTAAAGACATTGGCATCTCTTCTTTATGCTTTCATGAAGTACACCCAAGGGAACTGAGCAGGAAATGCAAATAAACACTGTTCTTCCTTTCATATTAGAATAAAAAATGTTTTAAACCTGTCTGAGGACTTCGTGACCGTTAAGCACTGTGTAAATAGTACATATGTACTTTCTCAAACCTTGCCCGGAAGCTCTTATCACAGAACACTTTCCATTCCATTTACATCAACCTGAAAAGATGACAATTTTCCATGTCTGGGTCAAGTATTTTATGATATACGCTATGGCTTCACTTTTTATTTAATTACATGCAGCAAAGAGAATCTTCTTGTTATTAAGCGGAACAGAAATTCTACCTTTTAACTTAACAAGCTCAACCCACTGAGAGTGTCCATAAATTTATCTACCACATCTATGATATAAGACAGATACAATCTTCCCATTTTATTACTTTAAAAAATTCCTAACTGTAGCTACTTTAAATGAAACATATCCCTAGGTAACTTCATTCTGATCTGTCGAATCTCCACATGGTAAATTATTCAATGGTAAGATCGTATCCCGTCTCATGGACGTTGACCCAAAATGGTTCAACAGCAAAGCCCCGGGACGCTGAGCTCACAACAGGTACTTGATGCTGTAGCTGGGAGGTACCAGAAGGTCAGTGGACTCCTCAGATCAAACTTAACCTGGAAGCTGCCAGCTTCTGGAAGCCAAGACTCGTTACTGTCCCCATGCCTGCCTTGCTCTTTTATCTCACATATTTCATGGATGGGGACATTCTGCAGGAGACTGAACATATCTGGATGTGAGAGTATATTAACGTTCTAAGAAAATGACCTCCAAGGCATCTCTGGTGCAATTACCTAACACCCCATCCTAAGGATGTAGAGTAGGTACGAAAGTTTCTTTATATTTACTTCTCCATGAAATAGATTTCTTCTGTTCTTTTCTCAGAATATCTACAGAAC